CAAAACTGCCATCGACTTGTTGTCGTAATTCTCGTAGCATCGGTTATCGCTTCGTTCTTTTATCTCCATCGCTGCTACAGAAACGAAGCTCGATAAACGGTACCCACGTCCTCATTTAAACGCTTCTCGTCCCCATCTTAATATAAGGGGATGCCCGGATTCCTCGTCTCGCAATTTCTGCTACCACGTTTTCTATTGGTGCAATTACTTTTAATTAAGCAATTAAACAGCGAAAATTCTATTGTCACCTGTTAATTGGATGCTCCGTTGCGGTTTCGGGTTATTAAATCTCGTCTCCTCCGTCATTTAAAGCCGAGAAATGTAGAAAACGAGGGAATGTTTTCTATAGATTCGATGGCCGCTTCGTAGTTCTTCCACTTCTGGACCGTATCCAAACGAAGGTAGGTCAATGGACAATTAGCTAAGAAGACACGCTCCTCGACCGATTTCTTATTGTTTCCGCCCTCCTATTTATCTTTCTAACCTCTCCCCGCTTACACGACTAGATACAAGAAAGGCGTAGACGTTACGCGAAATAAATCACTTCAATCCCTTTCTTAGTATCTTCTTCGTCTCGGTGATGTTCGGAGCCGGAGTGATGGCCATTGATTCGTGCCGGAAATGAAAGGAAGATAATTATTTACGGGAGTGGAACACTTCTTATTATCAACCCCGTAGATAGAAGAGAAAATTTGGCACTCGAACACAATAAAGTGGATTAGCTTGGCTGTCACCTTAGCTTCTTCCCCTTTCTCTCAACGAGTAAATTGCTGTTAGGAGCACGATATGTTCTCGTCTCGAGAGGGACTATGCTTGTTATTTCCAAGTCGTGCATCTGCACCGACGAAACACGGTATATTTTTGGCAAGGAAAAATGTTAAACGAACGAAACCAGACTCCACGTCGTAATTCTTACTTCTTACGTATAAATAATTACATCTGAAACAACAAAATTGACTAATAGGAGCCGATGCAAATAGTAAAGTACTGTACATTTCGTACGGAATGTGCTTTCTAGTACTAATTCTTGAAGCAATTTTCTTTATTTGCTGCCAGACTAATTAGTCGAAAGCTTATTTAAATCTTACTGGCGAACACTGCTGTAAGAAACACAAACTGGCATATGCAAATTAGAATTTAGTCCGGGCGTATAAACCCCCTTAATAGAGAAGGAAAAATAGACATTTAGTGAAATAATTCAAGAGAAATAGACGAACAATTAAAAGAAGAAGAGAAGGAATTGTCACTTTTATCACTGTCTAATTTGGCTCTCGTTTTCTAGTTAGTTCGTCGATCGTCTCGGATTAACTGCATCACATTAAACGAACAACTTCCCCCCAAACGAGCATCACTTACAAAACAAGAAAAAGAACTTAATGAAAATTCTCTAAGCATCTAAACAATTCCAGAAACAAAAAGCAAGATTTAAGAACGAGAACAACTTATAAGATTGTCTTCTCTTTTTTTTCTGTTTATCTTCTTTGTATCTGTGTGAAAGTGTAGAGATGTTTTCATCTTATATCACCTGTTATCGTGTCATTTAGAGGAAACATCATCCCCTTTTATAAGGTGATAACGCCCGGATAGACGTTAGAAAATAAATCACAAACGAGAACAAAAGAAGCAGAAACAAAGTCTAAATTAAGGAAGAGAAGGTGAAAAAAAATATATGGATGATGAAACAAGAGAAAGATCAGAAAGAAGAACGAGAGGAGCAAACGGTGGTAGCTTGATAAAAATTCTATTCTTTCCAACAGAAACAAAAAAATGTAACCGTGATATTAATTATATCTTTGATTATTCCCGTTCGGGTTATGATATTATCATAATTGTTTTGGCTTCGTTTCAAGCATTTTTATTCGTATTAAAAAAAATAAATGATTTTTTTCTATTCTAATTTCTCGTCAATGAAGTTGACTCGCTGTAATCCTATCAACCGCAAAATTCTTATATTATTTATTGTAAATAGGCATCTTTCCAACGGAATGGCTTGCCAATATCATTTAAAATTTATGTAAGACGTAAGGCAAATAAATGAGAGGAAGGAAATGAATTGTACTATCGTTTCTACCACCGTTTTCTCATATATGTTTGCATCTTATCGGCACCTGTCTGATATAAAGCGGGTCATAGCGAAGATTGCTTTGTTAGCTAACGTGGAACTCTGTTTAAAAATTCATAAGAGAGAACATTACATTTCAAACGTGCACGAAAGGAAACTCATTCAAATAAGTGTAAATTTAGGTATAGAAGCGAAACTCTAATCGCGTAATAACGGCGTATACAAGAACATTAACTCGATTATAACAATACTAGGAAATAGATAAGATGCCCTTATACTACGAATGATTATATAAAGTATACAAGATATCAATTACCCTTAAGTATACGCAAAACCGACCAATTAATAGTAATTAATCTTTTAATACCGTGAGGGTATCCGGTGTCGCGAAAGCCACTTCCATAAGGCTTATATACAGTATATATAGGCCTATATATATTGTATTAGTAATTTGTTTACGCTAAAAGCTATATAGCTCTATAAATTGCCAGCAGAATTATACCAGTATATGTAATATAATTACGCGTGATAGTTAGGGGGTGCAAGGAGGATGCACTCTCATCCTCCTTGCACCCCTTGTACGTAACTGATAAAACACGAGTTGCCCTACATCACTAATTTCTTGTCGTCTTCCCTATTTTCCTTCTGTTAATATCCGCACCAAACAATGATTTTGGCACAGGGGCCTTATCCTAAAAGAAAATTTTGCCATTTTGGCACGAGATATATTGCCCGGGGACACAATTTTTCTTTTTACATTTCCGAAGCTAAATCTAACTTAGAAAGCAGTAAATTTGATGGAGATTGAAAGCAAATGGGAATAAGGAGACGGCAATCCCTCGTCACGTCCAACTGCACCGACTGACTCTGCAAACAAAAAAGAAGTTTTCTGAAAAACAAACTGTCGCCCGCGAGATTACCGTGACTTTGAAATGCTCGATAGGAGAAGCAAAGCTCCTTTGTGGCCTCGCCATTCTTCTTTACAAGTCAATCCAAGCAGAATGGTTACAAGTGCTACCTTTAAATATTCCTCCTCCGGGTATAATGATGTTGGAAAGACACGTCTCTCCCACTTTGGGGATTATGCAGAACGAGTTTAACATTTGAATGGAAAATTGCGTATGATGAAAGCGCAGAAAAGTTCATTTAAATGATCGAGTACCCGTAGCTCGATGGGGAATTTACGCACGAAATGCAGAAATCTACCTACTGTTACCAGTTACTAAAACTATAAAGGTGTTTTTGGCCAATGCCGAAGAGTAATTAGTAAACCACCACCCCAAATTCACTTAATATTGGCGCTTTTATCGAAAAAACTCCCCCCGCAAGACGTACAATACGGAGAAAGTAAATTGGAAATGGATTTTAAACCGCTCTAATTAGGAAATATCACGAATAAATAAGAAATGTGAGCCCGTTGTACAAAATAACCGCTAAGAAGTAAGTTGTTAGGCAACGGAAGCGCATTCCGGGATGCATTGGCAACTAGTGTGACGTCAAGAATGCCAATCAAAGCGACCATAATTCCAATCGATAGTTAACAGTTCGGAATTATTAACTTTCTCTAATGAAACTTGGACGTTCTATTATTACACCCCTCGACTGTCTGGTAATCTACATCATTAGAACCGCAATTGCATCCGTGTTTGCGATCGGCTTTCATATTTTCACTTTGCATTCGGCCGGATCCTTTAAAGAACACCCGAAAATGTGAAAATAATTAACAATCTATAACTCGTCGGAGACACTCGCAGCGGGTTTCTTGCAGCCAGAAAGAGAGAGGAAGAGTTCGCGTAATCGATTATTCCTCCGACTCGAAGAGAACTTCTCTAGGCTTTAAATCTCTGTCCACCGAAAATTCTCTTGTATTTATCGTGTAAGAGGTCCATTTTCTAGCTTTCCGTTAGGTATCAACCACTAAATTCCTTCTATTGCACACCGGCGAATTTCTTCCACTCCCAACCTCTTATCCGGTAAAGTATGGCTAACGTTTATGCAAATCATACGAGACGATGCTCTCATCCATTACAGTTAAGGACCACTAAAATAGCCATCTTTATGGTGCCATAAATTCACGATTACGGCCGTTGAAGTGCCATTTCTCCTAAATATTCGTTATCCGAACCATTAAGAGACAGAGGTCCCGGCGCCCCGTCCGGAAATTTTATAATTGAATTACCATTTTCTCTTTCCCGTAATGTAAAAGTAGAAATTGTAACTTTTACGGCTCTTAAACCTCCTCCTTTAGAAGTGTTTTGTTGCGGCTCCGATGGGGAATCCACCGGCCAACTTGTTAACATCTTTCCGTCTTCCGCACCAGCCACATCTAAAGCTAATTGCTCGTTTACCTCGAAGTTTTTCCACGGGAACATTGTGGCACCCCTCGTTTAATCTTTGGAAAAAAGCCAGCCCGCTCCCGATTTACCGGACTGGATAAGGAACGATCCCCGCGCGGTCCATCATTCGTGCCCATCTGGTTTTGGGATTGGGGAAAAGTTGGGTTTTGGCGCACGACAGGCAACGAGATGTCCGGGAGCAGAAAATAACCGGAGACCAATTTGGAATAGGCTGAGAGGAAGAGAATGGCAATTGGGAATATGGGAGGAGGAAACGGTATTTTCATCGTGTAGGAGACGGATGCAACCATTCTCGACAGTGGTGAGGATCTCGTCACTTCGGGGACCGACTCGCCTCGGCGGGGGAGATTCTTCTTTCCGGGGCCAACGGAATCAACAGTTACCGGTCACGTCATCGGGGGTCGATTAGACCGGAAGTGACGCCGGAGGAAGGGAGCGGCGCCATCCGACACCCACATCCGCTAATAAGGGCGTTATTACTTTCTCGGAGCGGCGTCACATCGACCAATCCGGAGTCTCCCCCATTTTAGCCGAGCAGTCGACGTCGTCGTCGGCCAGAGCGCCTCTGCCGTAACAGGGCGATGGACGTGGACCAGATCCTCCGTGACGTGGGCGAGTACGGCCGCTACCAGCAGCTGATGCTGTGGTTGGTGCTGTTACCAGCTCACCTGCCTTACGGATTTCACAGTTACAGTCAGCTCTTCATGACTCTCACCCCCGATCACTGGTGTGCCTCCGCCAACGCCTCCGACCACGGGCGCCACAGTTGCGATTCCTCTCTGCGAAACTCCACGCAGCGATGCCTGGACGGGGTGGTCTACGACCAGTCACGCATCGGTCACGAAGACACCGTGGTCACGCTGGTAAGTGCTCCGTCTCGGCGTAACGCGCGCGGAACGGCAGCGCCGGTTACGTTAAATAATAAGGCAATATTCATTTTGTTCGATCGATGGCCGTATCGGTCCATCCCTTCCTCCTTTATCCGACGTTGGACGACTTTTCGCTCCTCCGGAGGTAACAAAAGCACCCTTCTAGAGCATCGCGCTTCTCCCCTCCCCGCACGCTGGCATTTCGCACGGACGACTGTCGGAATGCTACCACACACCGGATATATCGGAAGACGACTCTTTTCGGAATCGCGAGTAGAATGTTCACATCGTTAATTGTCAAATTGTCTCACCTGTGTAGTCGCCAGCGTAAGAAAAAGGGTGCCCTTAAGGATTACTGAAGTAACACTTAGATGTCTGTTAATGGGAAGAGGAACGTCGAGCGTAACAATGTAGTGTCTTCGGAGCCGCGGGGTTTCTATTTACTTTCGTTTTAATGAAGAAAAGCTCCGTTCTTCTTCGCCGTAACGAATTCTTCCTCGGAAACGGAACAGAATTCGCGTTCCAATGCTTCTTTTTGCTATAGAAACATTCCTATTTCACAAATCGAGCCGTAAAGGTATGCTGTGGTTTACGGAAGCGGAGCATCGAAATCCATTCTCTCCGCTTCTGTAGCTCTGTCGACGAAAAGATATCTTTGCAGATAACTTCACTGCCGAATAATTTCTTCCTCCAACAGCCATTCTACGCTCCTGCATCCTCATTTCTCTCGTTTTTTTTATTTACTCGCCGCTTAAATTCTACTCCGAAACGTGCGAGTGTCGACGAATGCGGAACGAATCCGTCGTAAGTTAACAAAAGAAAACAACATTTGATTAAATCCGGTGTTGTTGCGAGTTTTAATTAATGTTGTGACGTTTGCTATGGATCCTCTTCTCTTTCTCTCGGGGTCGCCCGACGATGAATAACGTAGATAGATGACGGATCGTTACTTGTCGAAAGAACTGACGGCGCAAGATGGGTGGATCCCGAACTTCCGGAGAGATACTCGTCTCCTTCAAAGACTAGTCTGGAACAGAAAGAAAAAACGGGAAAAGGTACGAAAGAATCTCTATAGACGGCTCGTACACACAGTTTAGAAGTAATTATCACCTTTGACCCGCGGCTAATGCTCCCAATCTACTGAAAAATTGCTCTCGGTGACGATTACCACCCAATAACTGGAGATTTTTACCCTATACTATTTTTAGAAAATTCGTCTCTCTCTTCACATTTCCAATGTTAAAAATGATGGAAAAACATTCGAGTTTTGTAGTGTTTGGATCCTTCTTCTGCCATGCACAGCTTCTATCGTTTGATGTATGGTACGTCCGAGCATGCATTTTATAAATAGTTTATCCGTTAATGCTAATGTTTAGTATCTGTTTCGTGGTACGAGATTTTTATATATTCGACGAATAACCACAGAGCTTATCCGACACGAACACTTGTACGGTTTTCGATAAAAGATGGTAACAAAAGTATTGTTCCTCACCCTCCTCCGTCGTTTTATAATAGTATTCGGAATATTTTCCACGCGTATGCTTTAGGGTTTAGTTTTACGTAAAATACATTTTAATGCACTATAAGGTGGTCGAAAGTCGGTTAACGGCAGTCCGCGTAACTTACATACACGCGGTTAACCGAGTTTTGGTCCGCCCTGTATTTTTGCGATAAAAGTTATTCATTTTCTCCACAAATAAGTCGAAAGTAAGTAGTTTCGGCTATTTTAACTGGGATTTTTTAAATTTTTTTTTCTTGTAAATCTCGATGCTTCTCTTCCAATAAAATTCGCCGTAAAATTCGAAAGAAAGGGGTGAAAACGTGGCGTAAACGGGCGAAAATTTGAATATATTCCTCTCGGCACCCCCGAACTTTAAATTTACAGAAACAGTGTTTAACTGGAAAATGAATAGACGGAGAATATTTTCTAATAAACTCTTTGAATAATGTATTTTCGGTCTGTTAAAATATTCGAGGAACGTTTAATATCCGCAATAAAAAACATTGGATGGCATTTTCCTTAAGCGAATTAAAGTATTGATCAGAGTGCAATTTTTAAAAGCAGCCGGTAAACGTATAATCTACGTTTTTTAAATTATCGTTTTAGTCGTCTTTTTATAAAGTCGGAAATCTTTATTCCAAAGCCAAAAACCTGTAGGAAACTTCCACTGGGTTATCACAATTCTGACGTTTCTTTTGATGGAAACGAAATTCTCCCCAAGAGTAATTTCTGAAAGCCATTTCTACTTTTTCTTTTCTTCTTTTAAATCCCGAAGATACTTTTATAAATTCGTCTAAATATAATCTTCTATCGTTCGGGAAGTTAATAAAAAAAGTTACGACGGCTAATTCTAATGAGTTACACCGGATTTTGCCATGGAAAGACGAGATTCCCAATAAGAATCGAAAGTGAAATGGGTGCTTCCGGTGCTTCCTCGCGCTGAACGGACCACGTAACATTACGTTTTCTTACGGTCGTTTGTTTTCTGCAATTGAATTTATTACCGGATAGCCCAGTTTTTGTGGAAAGTGATCGATGTGTTTTTTGCTGGTGGAGGGGGACCGCGGAGGATTCGATGTGCCGGAAGGAAGACGCGCGCGGGTGGTATCGGAAGACGATTAATCTAATCGTTTCCTCGGGAGTGGGCAGCGTTGCCACGGGGACGTTCCTCGACCCTCCGCGGGGGTAAGTCTGGCGCGATTAGGACGAGAGACGGGACGTTCCGTCGTGACTCTCCCCGGGCGCCCGCCGATTAAATTGGTCTTCTTCCAATCGAGTCGATCGTCCATACATTAGGCGGAGGACCCATCTAGAGAAAGACGGTTTGTCCGGTTCTGGCAACGGTCCAACGTGGCTCCGGCAGCGAAAATATGGTCAGCGGACAAAATTGATGAGGAAGTGTTGAGTCCGGGAGAGGCCATAAATATTATGTAATCGGTGGGGGATTCCGGTCCAGACGCAACCCCCCCAGCCAGGGGACTTGCCAGAGTTTTCCTCGCTCGGTTCCGCCGCGAGAATTACTTTTTATTCCCTCCCGGTCTCCGGATTACGCGCGAAAACGGTAGAAAGTTTACTTTAAGGGTGCAATTTACTTGGTTGCGGCGGATTTACGGAAGCCCCGGAGGTAGGGTGGGCTTTATAAGGTCCCTTCGGATGCGCCGGTGGCCGGGTCGGACGGAAGCCTTAACGAGAAGGGGGAACGAATGCGGCCGGGCGAGATGTCAATCAGAGAGGAGCGGAGGCACGGAACACGATAAGCTCATCGATTGTGCCCGGATGGCCAAGATACGGAGGGCGATAAAGCATTCGATATCCATTCTCCGGGACGAGATGGCAGAGCGCAAACCATCGATGATCTTCTGTGGCTTTCACCCGACCCATTGTTACCGCCGTGGCAGTTGTTTGCCGGGTTTAATAGGGGTCCCGTTACTACCGGAAACCCGGTTTGGCCTTTGGCTGCCAACTCTGCGAATTCTTTTACGGGAGCCGTCTTAAATCGGCTGCAGACGGCTTTTCCGTCCGAAAAATTGGTGAAAGTTTGTTTGGCAAAGTGCGATCTCCCATCGATTTTCTATGGAAGCCGGGGGAGAGAAGAAAAGGCGTATCCGGAGATAGAGATATTGTCTGCATCACCACGGCCTGGGGCAGTAAATCTGCTCTTACCTTCCATTATGGCGAAAGCTCTTTCCTAATCGGTAATTGAGTCGTTCGTGTTTATGTTCCCGCTTTGCCACTTTCCTCCTCCCCTTTCGTGCGTAATTTTCGGAATTGGCCCGAGCCATTTGCCCGAGAGAATGCATTTTCCCGGCAATTCTTCCATTCTTCTGGGAAATATTGGCGGAAATGTTCGATTTTCATTTTTATTTCCGTTTCTTCTCCGTAAAGCCCTCTAATCGTCGTCCTAATGTCGGTACGCCGCACGACACGTAAACACTGCAAATTCCATTGTGGTGGCCTGAATGCCTGCCAAAAATTTCCTAAAGACTTTACCTCTCTTAACCTACTTTAAAACGTTATTTAGAAAAATGTCAGTGGCTAAAACGTCTTCTTTCTTGTTTATCGGGGAGGGGGAGTAGACCGTGAATACAAAAGTTTCGATATTGTGTTTTCACAAAACCGAATACTCCGTCCCAAAATGAAGGACGAGAGTGCGTTTAACATCCACGCGCGCTCTCCCACTCGCTGGAATCATAAAGAGAGGCGTCTTGTTTACCATTTCTAATCCCTTTAAGAGGAACCGACAGAGTAAACAGGAGATGCACACTATCTACACAAACGGGAAGAATCTTATTAAGATCTCGAAGGAAAGCTCCGCGTTTACAGGCTTCGTAATAAATTTAAATCCCGGATACAAAACACGCTCCTCGCCCTCTTTCGTAGCAGAACCCGCTTCTAGCATTCTCAAAAGGAGTTCCGCCGATTCTGCCTTTATCTTTTACGAATTAAACTGTGTATGAAAAGTTCCTTTTTGTGTTGTTTGGCGGCCATACTAGATCGCGTCGATTCTTTTTACAACGTGGACGTCTGCCGTGGCGTGCTCTCCGCACATTTCGACCGGTGAACAATGTCTGTAAAGAAATTTCCTACGCGTTTACTGTGTATCGTAATAACTAACGTTTCCCGTTTTGAGTTATTCAAAGAAGGCCATCTATTGTTAAAAGGTTCTTGTTTCCATTAAACTATTATCGGTTATGGTCGCGCGGTGTGTGCCCAGAAAACGACACACATTACACGCTATACAAAGGGAGGAAAAGCGTTGGAAGGGAGTGAAAGAGGTAGTTAAGAAGAGACAAGTGGACATAATAGAAATAGGGGAAAGAGAAAGAGTAGATATAGGGATGAACACAAAAGAGAAAAAAGACGTACAAGACACCGACATAAAGAAACAGAAGAAGAATACACCGTGTCTTCGACACCGTTTATACCAGGTACACGAGACATTTCGTACGGGCTGCCTTATAAACGCCATATTCAAATAAGGATTACGCCTTCC